ACACAGACAGACACACACACACACACACACACACACACACACACTTTCAGTGATATTTCAGTTTTTCTTTTTTAATAAATCTGCAAAAATGTCAACAATTCTGTGTTTTTCTGTCAATATGGGGTGCTGTGTGTACATTAATGAGGAAAAAAATGAACTTAAATGATTTTAGCAAATGGCTGCAATATAACAAAGAGTGAAAAATTTAAGGGGGTCTGAATACTTTCCGTACCCACTGTATATATATTATATATATATATATATATGTATATATATGTATATATATAAAAGATGGTTTATAAAAGCCAGCAGATGAACCAGAAAATGTTTTAATAATGGCATTTAGGAGCTGATTATATTCATAGTCATTAGTTTTGAGTTTGTCCAGATGTTTTTGTCTTTGTCGGAAGTTCAGATCTGTCTCATGTCCATTTCATCGTCCACCAGGTGAAAACATCAGAGTGGATTTGTGAAGTAACTCCTCAACAAGAAACGCAGGACAAGTTTTGTGCCATGCTTGCCATCAGGATCTTGTTCAGATCGAGTATGAGCACTAGTAATAGTGATGCTTGTCTGATCAAACAGCACTAATTAGCCCGGCGTTCATGAGTCTCATTAAACATGCCTTCCAGGAGAGAGAAATGCAGATCAGCTGCGTGTGCTAATATCTGCTGATGGGAACGTCCTTCATCTGTTTGCGTGTGTTTTCTTTCAGAAACGCTTCTGGATGACTTCCTGCTGACGTATCTGGTGTTCATGTCCACCAGTGATCTCTGCCAGGCGCTGCTGGGACAATATCCTTCAGATCGCACCAAAACACACATGACCGCTGCTGATGGATCGTGTGTTTGATGACTGAGCTGGATGGCCTTGCTGCGTTGTAAATATAGTCACAGCTAAAGGCGTCTGGACGTTCTTCCGTTCATAATGTTTCAAAAACTATTTGTTGTGTATGAAAATAATGGTAATGTGTAGTTAAAAATACACAACTGAAAGGTTAGTGATCTAGAAAGTTCAGAATTTTATGCAAATATAGTTAAATATAATAAAAAATTAGATAGAATATTTTTTATTTGTAATTAATTATATTATATTATATATTTTTTTAATTATTTAGAAAATTTAAGCTGAAAAAAATATTTTAAGCAAATATAATACATATTATATTAGATATAATAAATGTTTTTATTTGTAGTAAATTATATCATTATATATTATATTCTATAAAAATATATATAAAAAAACATTAAATCTTTCTTTCTATATAGAGAGAATTGAAGCTGAAAAAATAAACACATTTTCAACATAATTATAGTCCCTGCAGAAGCAAATGTACAATGTTATGTAAAATAATTTTAGAATTATGTATAAATTGTGCAAAAATATTAATCATATATAAAATATGAAGTTGTAAAAAAGGACAAAAATCTTTATCATTAGTGACCTAGAAAATGCAGAATTTTATTATATACATATTATATTAGACATCATAAATGTTTTTATTTTGTAATACATTATGTCATTATATATTATATTATTGAAAAATACAAACATTAAATCTTTCTTTCTATATATAGATAAACATATTCAACATATAAATATAGTCCCTAGAAATAGTTATAATAATATAGTATAATATTATGCATTAAAATAGTTTTCTTAATTATGTATACATTGTGCAAAAAATATTAATCATATGTGACTTATGAGGTTGAAAAAAAAGTAAAATAAATAAATAAAGTATTATTAGTGACCTAGAAAGTGTGGAATTTTAACCAAATAAAATACATGTTTTTATTTAATAAATGTTTTTTTTTTTTTTGTAATTGTTATTATTATTATATTATGTAGGACAGTAAGGGCTGTACAATTTATACCCGTTTTTTACACAATAAAATTTATCAAAATTTTAAAAAAGTATACATTTTGTTTATATTTTTGTATTCGCTAAATATTTTAATATTGTTAAATATTTTTAGTATATATATATATATATATATATATATATAATTATTATTATTATTATTAATTTATAAATATTTTATTGTTAAATATTTTATTTTGTCTTTGTGTACACTCTTAAAAATAAAGGTGCTTCAAAAGGTTCTTCAAGCGATGCCATAGAAGAACCATTTTTGGTTCCACAAAGAACCATTCAGTCAAAGGTTCTTTAAAGAACCATCTCTTTCTTACCTTTTTATAATCTGAAGAACCTTCTTTCAAATATTTTATTTTGTCTTTGTACACTTTGTACACTTGTACACTCTTAAAAATAAAGGTGCTTCAAAAGGTTCTTCAAGCGATGCCATAGAAGAACCATTTTTGGTTCCACAAAGAACCATTCAGTCAAAGGTTCTTTAAAGAACCTTTGACTGAATGGTTCTTTGTGGAACCAAAAATGGTTCTTCTATGGCATCGTGAAGCACCTTTATTTTTAAGAGTGTAGAGGGTGAAATATATTTAGCTCATCTGCGATCTGGTGTGTGCCGAGAAGCTCTTCTGAGTCGTGTGTTAGTTGGTTGTTGGTCTTTAACCGGATCTCACCTACTGTACAAAGCGCTGCCGGGGGAAGGAGGAGGGAAAGGAGGCCCTCTACAGAAAGAGGAAAGTACTGCACCTGGTGTGTCAGTGGAGCACGCTCTACAAGGACTTCCTGCGAGAAGAGGAGAACATCAAGCTCTTCATGAAGGTCAGAACATTAGACAAACACTCTGGGAACGTAGGGTGAAATATATTTAGCTCATCTGCGATCTGGTGTGTGCCGAGAAGCTCTTCTGAGTCGTGTGTTAGTTGGTTGTTGGTCTTTAACCGGATCTCACCTACTGTACGAAGCGCTGCCGGGGGAAGGAGGAGGGAAAGGAGGCCCTCTACAGAAAGAGGAAAGTACTGCACCTGGTGTGTCAGTGGAGCACGCTCTACAAGGACTTCCTGCGAGAAGAGGAGAACATCAAGCTCTTCATGAAGGTCAGAACATTAGACAAACACTCTGGGAACGTAACATCAGATTTAATGTATTATAACCAACAGGTCTCAGTGGAATTTAAAAGCGGTGATTTTAATAGTGCTCATCTGATCTGTGTTTTCAAAAGAGGATATGATGGAGAGAAACGTGTGCAATGGTTAATGCACTTAATATTTAAAAAAAAGTCTATCAGTAAAAACTATATTTAATATTTACATATTATTTTCAAATTTAAAAAAATATATTTGTGTTCAAGACGGTCAGTGAAATTTCTACCAGCATTTATTTAGAATAATTTTTTTATTTAGATTAAAATGCTATATTAATATATTATTTTAAACTTTTTTTTAAATGGTCAGTGATATTTCAACCAGTATTTTGCACAATATTTACTGTAATTTTAAAATATTTGTATTAATATTTTTATGGATATATACTATTTTTATATATTTTTTTTAATATTTAAATTTAAGACTGTCAGTGATATTTTCACTGGTATTTTACACAATATTTATTCAAAATTAAAAAAATATTTTATGTTTATATTTTTAAATATTTTAATCCAAAATTATCAGTACAATATTTACTCAAAAATATTTTAGATTTATATATTATTGTTTTATATTTCGATATTTATATAATATTTTAACTACTTTTATTCAAGACTGTCAGTAACATTTCTACCATTAATTTAAACACTATTTACCCAAAATATTTGTATATTTATATTTCCTATTTATATATATTTTTTATATTAAAAAACAATCTTCAAGGCTCTCAGTAACAAGCAGTTCCATGCAGTTCTATGAGAAGCATTATGTAGCCCGCCCACAGTGACTGCACTTTGCTCCACAGCGGCACATTGACATCAGATGTGTTCTGATTGGCTGTGACTGTGTTAAACTCTGCTAGTTTAGTGTGTGAGTGGTGGTTTAACTGACTCACGCTTTTCCTCAGGGATCGTCTCAGTCTCATGTCAGGACTTGAGCTGCTTTAATGGTTCTTCTCTCGTTTTCGCTCCAGAGAACGTGTTCTCTCTCTTCTGCTCGTTGCTGAAGGCCACATAGAAAACACTTTCAAGCGTCATTAAAAGTGTGTGTTTGTGTAGTTGTGTGTAGGTATTTATGATGTGAATATAGATGTTTTTACGCGTGTAGATGTTTCACAGATTTCAGTCTGTCATCTTCACAAGATCCCACACACACACACACACACACACATCAGAAATGCACATCTTGTTCCTACCTGCCTTTGTCCCACCCACACACACACACACACACTCGCATGCACGCTGTGTTTCCATGACGACTGTCGTGTCATTGCAGTGACGAGGCTGTTTCACGGTCACTCGTATTCGAAGCGTTTCCCAGGTGATGGTTGCCTGGTAACAGGCAGGATGGGGGGGGAGGTTGTATGGGTCGATTGTGTGTAAGCGGTTCAATTACACTTGAGACACACACAAATATTCAGATTCCATCAAACACTACAGAACAGGAGTGTGTGTGTGTGTGTGTGTGTCTGTGTGTGTGTGTGTGTGTTGTGGGGGGGGGGGGCGGGGGG